TTGTCATTCGTTTCGTGTGCTTGTAATGGCTTGGTTCTCATGGATGAGTCTTTGCAACTCCTTCCTGCTGTCGAAACTCTGGACCTTAGCCGGAACAAGTTTGCAATTGTTGATAATCTTCGGAAGTGTGTCAAATTGAAGCACCTAGACCTTGGTTTCAATCAGCTCAGAACGATTTCGTCATTCAGTCAGGTATGAATTTAGCTTTCGTTTGCAATGTATTGGTCCATCTTTGATTGCTTTGAGAAATTGTATGCACAAATTTGTCTGAGAAGAGTACATTTTTATATTCCCTAATATTGAACAGAGTTCAAACTTTTCAGTTAATATTTAGTCAAGATTGTTTATTTTGGCGCATATTACATGGATTGAAGTACTGAGAAGTGCTTTTTCTATAGTTTTGAGTTCTATTGCCACAAAGTTTCTATTTAGGAAATAGATTTGGACCCATACTCCGATGTTGTTGGACCATGCAGGTCACCTGCCGTTTACTTAAACTTGTTTTGAGGAACAATGCTCTAACTACATTGCGTGGGATTGAGAATTTGAAGTCACTTGAAGGGCTTGATGTTTCCTACAATATTATTTCAAATTTTCGGAGTTAGAATACCTTTCTGGACTTCCATCTCTTGAAAACTTGTGGTTGGAAGGGAATCCGTTGTGTTGTGCCCGTTGGTATCGTTCACAAGCATTCAGTTATGTCACTAATCCATACAAAGTAAGTTTAAGATTCATCTTTTTTTATTTTCTTCGTTCTTCGGGACCTGAAGCACATCGATCTTAAATATAAAATTTTGAACGTATTTTTCAGGTCATTTGTTAGTTTTATTTTTCTAACTTTTGTCTTTTGATCTGTCGTATGGTGGATTAGTTGAAGTTAGATGATAAGGAGATCAGCACCAGAGACTTTTGGAAGAGGCAACTTATTGTTGCTGGCCGGCACAAACGACCGGCCAGCTTTGGGTTTTATTCTCCTGCAAAGTGTGATGATAAAGGAGATTCAAGTACTAACAGAAAAAGGGTAGGTCACTGTTACATTTGTTGGGAGTCTTTATCAAGTATTGGTATAAATTCATAGGACACCTTGGTATTGGGGGCTGGTTGTTCTTTACCCCTGAATTTGATTGAACCTCTGCCTACCCCACACATAAATAAGTTAAAAGGGTGAAGTGAATGTGCCTGGATTTGGGTTCTTAATCTGTAAACTTAATCTTATTTTTTAGCGTAATCGTTGCTGTATGTTGAATGAATCATGTATACCTTTTGATTTTAAATATTTGTGCTATGCATATCATCCACTCCATTATTGACTAGACAGTCATAAAATTTTGCATTGTCCACTCCATTATTGACTCGACAGTCGACAATCATAAAACCTTGCATCCTTGCTGTTTTGCAGAAAAAGGTATCTCGTCTTGCTTCAATTGTTAATGAAGAGGAGAACACATGTTCTGACCAGGACTCTGTGTCTTGTGACAATGAGATTCAAAGCAGAGAGGAAGTTGTCATATCTGACAATGAAGCTGAAATTGTTGATTTGATGACTAGAGTTGAGCTAATGAAGAAAGAGCGCTCTGTTCTTTGGTTGCGGGAGTTCAAGGAGTGGTTAGATCATGCTTCTGAGAATGATGCAGACATTGGTAGGTATAGCAGGGCTAGACTGCATATCGAGAAGGAAAACTATTTAAAAACCAAGGCAAGCTGGAGGCAGCTGGGTGAAAAATTAACATATGTTCCAGACTACATCCAAGCATCAGGAGATGAGAGTAGTACAAATGTTTTAGAATCAGACAGTTCCTTCTTGGATATATCTTCTGGACATGCCCATCACTTTGACCAAATTGTTTCAACGGGGAATGCTGGTAGGGTCAGCCCAGTTGGCATGGATAGTAGAGACCTCAGGGAGAATTTAAAAGCCTATTCTCATGAAGGGACAAGTACTGTCAGTTCAGAGGCTAAAAGTTTCCGTGCTCAGACGTTCACCACTCAAGGAGGTCATAGGATGATCCAGAATTTGAGCATGTCTGCATTATCTGTTATTGATGATATTTCAGAGTCTTATTCATCATCTGCTAACCCAGGATCACCGCCCCATTATCAAAAGGACATTCTTAGTCGTAGACATAACTTAGAGGAGGAAATTTTACAGTTATCCGCAGAGTCATATTCAGTGGCATCATCTGATAGTAATACCAGCTGTAGTGAAGATGAAAATTATGAATCTACGCAGTCGGTTCCTGAGAACTGGTTAAATGAGAGTGCTGAAGAATACCCACTTTCAAATCGTTTCAAGTATTATGACATAAAACGTGAGGTTGACAGACGTTCGGTTGGAGTATCTGCCAGTGATGTTCCTGCTGATGCTCATGATGTTGAAATTAATAATTGCATTAATGAAGAGTGTGATTTTCTGGAGAGGAGAAAAGGAAGACAGAAGACTAAAAGAAGAGTTACTGCTCTACTAGCAGATGATAACATGATTAGGCAAGCAGAACGAGCACCAAAATCAAATGGCATTCTAGATAATCATGTAGCGCAAGTCGAAAATAAGCAAGATAATCAGTATTTTTATGGGAGTGGCTTTCATGAAGTTAATAAGAGACAGATGTTGGCAGATAGAAGCAGTACCCCACTAACTGAATTCTTATCTTCAGGCAATGATGAATTTATTGAGAATTATTTCAATACAAATGTCGCAGATTCACGAAATCACGAGATTTGTAAGCAATGTTTGTGTTGCTGTTGTATACTTGAGCTGGATTTTTTTTCCAGAGAAAGGTGAACAGTTTGAATTTGTCTTTTTGTGCTTGAACCGTATACTGTGTAGTGTCCTATAAGGCTATAACAAGGTTTTCGTGTACATTGTAATATTGGTGCTTATGTTGGGTCAGCTTTTCAGACGTTTCTGCTCTTTATATGTTTATTTATCTTTATTTTACATGCAGAGAAGTTGCTGTTGTACTTAGTAGTGAAGACAAGCTTTATATACTGCTCATCGGTGTTGTAGGAGATGGGTCAGGTTAGGTTACACAGTCCTTCCGGGTGATTTATATATCATAAAATTTTCCTCTTTGACAATGATTACTTGGACAACTTGTTCTTCTATCTGGTTAGATATATAAATGCCGATTTTCAATGGGGTCTTTGTTTGCAGGCACTATGTTAAAGTTAAAGGGTTGCCACAGGGTTGAGGATATCAGAGAAGTTGTAGTTGGTATAGGGCTCCAGGTCGTGAGGTTAGTGCTTAATGGTACTTACTACTTATAGAAAATAGGTATAATTTCAACTTTCTAACAAAGTTTTTTCCTGTTGGCTTAGGGTGTATGTTGGGGGCAGTGCGACTTACGTGTTTAAAACTAGAAGCATTGAAAAATCAAGACAACTACTTTCTACCTTAAAAGCTATCGATTCTTTTGCGCCAAATGGAGGACTTTGCTTAAGAAGGTAGTTATCCTTTTTCCCTTTCAGATTTCTATTGTTTATTTGATTACCGATGCGAATATTAGGATTTCCTTGTTGTGATAGACTCGGGTTTTGGGAATTTAAATGGCAGTTTGGAGCAGGTTCAGGTGGAGTTATTTGAGAAACAAATATGCGGAGGTTCAAAAGTGAGCATATTCCAGTATTCTATGGTGCAGTTTTGGTGTAGTTATAATGAAGGTATGCTTAGGTCATCGATTTTCATATTTAATAGTCAATGATGGTAATAATGTCATGAATTGAATTATTTACAATCAAAAGGCACGAAGTGTGCAATAATCATTTTGGTAAACATGTCGAGAACATCTTAGAATAAAGGACGTATTCCCATGGTTAACTTTTGTTACGCTATTGTCGGTTTTGTATCTATGAAATTTAATGATGCTTACGTCACTATGCTGAGAACACTTCAATACTGAGGTTTCACCATCACACTCTTCGAACATCCCTTTTGCAGTCTAATTCCTTTTGGTTATTTTGAAAAGAAAAAAAAAATTCATGCTTGGTAACATTCTTGTATCTGTATGACAGGTGAATCATGGTTTTCAAGATCATTATTTGTGGCAGGAGGGCACGTATTTTTGTGTTTTGAAGACCTTATGCAGTTCAGCTCTTTGTCCGTGGATGCGCCTTTGCCCTCATATTTTTCACTTGACTTACGTTGCTCTATTGCCGACATATCTGAGTTGGTAACGCCTCGATCTGATTTTTAGCTTTTCCCTTAAAATTCAATCTAAACGAAATCTGGCAAATTAGTTTCTGGTTCATTACCTGGATTCAGTAACATTTTCTTTAGGGCTAGGGGGTAAAATCATTCAAGACATTAATAAGCACGTCTGTCATTCAGGTTGTTGATGTCAGAGAAAGTCGGTGTGTAACCTTAGCTGTTGAGTGTGCAATGTCCCAGTTCTGCCCCTCAGGCTCAGCCGTAGCGGACAATTCAGACTCAAGTGCAAATGAGAAAAAGATAGCTCCAGGCTCCATGACTTGGAAGCTCCGGTGGTTTTCCGAAGAGAGTCCGTTCAAGTTTGTGGCATTGTTGAAGGCGATCCACGGAGGGATGACCGTTACCCCTTTGCTTGTAAGGTGTATATCGTGAATGAATCCCTTCGTTTTTTCGCCCCACGGTTTTGTTAGTTTCATATTCATTTCATTCTTTTAAATTTGTTTCTTTACCCACTTTTGTTTGCCTACCGGCGTTAGTGTGAGTTGGCCGGAATTCGTTGATTTGTTTTCTTAGTTTTAGCAGTTCTTTTTCTTATGTACATTCTGTACAGTGTACAACATATAGGAAAGAAAATCGACACTTTTGCCAATTGTGTGCACAAATTTGGTTTCAAGCGAGCATTTTATCTGATTTGATACACGGTGCGATGTACGAGCTCGAATGCCCTTACCTTGCAACACTCGGTTCCAACGGTGATATTGCCAAGTGCTGCAAGGTGAAGGGCAAGCGACTTCTTAACCAAAACGAAAAGATGAAGTGATGTAAAACAAAAGAAAATCAAGCTAGAGAGAAATAAGATGTGCGGAAATCGTATCCCTTTATCTTTTATATCATCAAAACAAACAGCTGTTTGTGCCTTCGGGCTTTAATACAAAGAATACCCCCGAAACAAAAATGCCGTAGAATTCTAATTATTATTTTACATCGTACCTCGTAGCGTTTATATTATCGCTACGAGGGCAGCACAAACAGCTGAAAGAAGCTAAAACCAAAATCTGAACCCTTCTTACGGAGCTATAAACCATTGTCTTCAAATTAGCGAGTTTAGCTTTTAGTTTCCTCGCTGGAACGCTAGAAACTTTATTGTTTTTGGCTGCAAAAATTCAGCTTGGAACGAGCGGTTTAATGGTGAAAACAGCCAATATCCACCCCCAAATTTTCCAGTTTCCAATCATCAAGAGTCTAAACAGTTCGATAAGCAAAATTGACTTGACAGTTCCAAGTACTCTGGGGCATCAATTTCTTCGTATAACTATCGGAATCTCTTGCGTATCTGCTATCTCCGGCTCCTTTTGGGTTTTAGACTCATGAGAGCCATGAGTGTAACTGCTGCAGAGAGTGGATACCTAACCAAGAGAAAACAAATGTTAGGGAACGAGCCACAGTGGGTCAATATTTTTCGAGTCCTTGATGCGTGATATGATCATACGAAGATACAAAACCATACCATGTCAGAGTATAATTCAGGTGGTCCTGAGGCATGACTGAACTCCGAATCAAGGTATTGACATCCTTTGGAAGCGGGTAAGGGTTACCTGGATTAACATTTTCATTTACGTCTTCAATGTAAATAGTATCCTCAGGGAGTCCACACGTACGAGCTATTGCAGGAACATCAACATAGAACCATTGGTAGGAGTTTGGATCATTTGGTGGAACAAATATGCTAGGCTTTTCACTCCCTCGAACTACTCCAACAACTTCAACGGGAGCAACAACGCGGTTTTGATCCTGTAAGTTGCACGAAACTAAAATTAGATCTTCAACGTTCTTTTCATCATGCGATGATTGACATAATGATAACAAACAACCTCAACAACTTGGGGCTTCTTGGTCCAGAACCTCGACCAAGACCTTCTTTCAGTATCTTGGACAGAGGTGGGTGTTATATCAGAAGATTGTTCACCACCTTCTGAAACTTTTGAAGCCTCATCTTTCCAACTTCGCAGCACCCATCCTCTGTTGACCAAAATTGGTGGCTGCACACTGGAAATTTTGCATTTAATATTGATCATCAGCGAACAGATAAGCGTTGAAATTAGCTTGAAAGTCATGATGACAATCACAAATTAGTTTCCAAACATAAGAATATGTGAGGTCTAATGGAATCTTGAAGTTCTCTATATAATGTTAGAACCTAAAACCATATACATCCGGTACAAAAAAAAAAAAAAAAAAAAACAGAAGCGGTTTGTTTCCAACCCAAGGATGTACCGGACTGTATTAGAGCCTGAACTTGACGCTCAAGCACAAACCTTAAACAATGCAGATAAAATCACTCAATGTTAAAAGAAAGCAAACTAATCGTAGTGAACTTGAATCACAACCGAAGGTGAAGCTACATTAGATCATGGAAACAGTTAGTTTAATGTGATATGAGATCCTGGAATACCAAGCAGGAAGAACTCGTAAATGGTCCGATGTAATGTACCACCCTGTTAATTCTAAACCCCTATAAGCACTTAAAAAGTAAGGTTCATGAAGTACATGGAACTCCAACAGCTTTTACCTCTCATCTTTGTCAGGGACCTGGATAAGAGGTGTGATGATATAGTAGCCATTTTCGGTCACACCAGAAATGCTTCTTGAACGAGGGCCCACATAGATCGACCTTTTCTCATCAAAATACCCTTTGCATTTGACCCTCCTAAACTCCAACTGATCCAAATTTTGACTTGACGGAGAGGCATTGTTCAAGTTTAAAGGTTCCAATTCCAACCTCTTCTGTATATAATCTAACATTTGTATCTTTACCAAAAGAAACTCACCAATAATGGTCATATTTTTATGAGATTGTAAGGTTGAATGTGAAATGCACAAGGAACCAAATCTTCAGAATGGACAGGACCTGCAAAACAAAACCTAATACCATAACCAGATCGTAGATTCCGCTTTCGTTAGATTAATTCCAGTCAATTTCCACTTTTCATTCACATACCGATAAATCGTCAATCAAAACAGTCGGCTTAATCAAAAAGTACAAAGCCTCTAGTATTTTTAGTATTTCATATAACAGAAGTGTATGGACATAAATATAAACCACAAACAGAAACCGTTTTATAAGCAGAAGTTTGATCTCACAACAAAAACAACAACAAAGCCTCGTCCCACTAAGTGGGATCGGCTGTATGAATCCCAGAATGACACTGCGCTCGGTTTTGTGCCAAGTCTTCTGTTAGCTCCAACTTCCGAGTAAGAAAATGTCAAATCACCAAAGTATAATCGTGAATCGTCACTTATCTAAAATCCGCAAAATATGCAGACTCAGAATTAGTTTCAACATCTGAAATCTTTGCCCAACACAATGTTAATACAGAACGTATCGGGTTCAAGGCATTCCTTGAGCTCAAAAAAGTTATCTATCATAAGTAAGCACTTACCTGGGAATCCAAATTGTGCAACCAATCATATTTTCGGTACAATATGAATCCAAATATTCACAATGCAGCTTTATGCGTATTGCTAAAATAATCAATCTCCAAAATTGCTAAATCTGACAAGGTAATAAAAGATAGGAAGTGAAAAAAGCAACACCTTCTCTTGCCTTCTGATAATCTGCCAAGTCCCAAGCCCAAAAGTGATAGCTCCAGGAAGAAACAGCAACCATCTCGACCATCTCGACCTTTCCCTCCCTACACAAAAACCGAATAAAGCATCAATCTTTTGAATATTTCGAGCAAATTATGAAAACCCAGAAGCAGAAAGCACACGAACATCACAGAGGGCCCACCAGGAGCTTGGGAAGAGATGGTTGATTGAGACTCGGCCGCTGGGGAAGCAGCATTAGGGGAGGAGCTGGAGAAGGAGGAAGATAGTGAGAGTGGGGCCAGATGTTTGGGGTGAGAGGAATGGAACCCACTCGAATAATAAAGCTTGGTTATGGTTTTGGCAATGGAGGTTTTTGCTGCCATGTCGACGAATCTGGCATTTGGCTGTGTTTCTTGCCGCGATCGAGAAGGAGGGCTTAAAGTTTTGAACTTTTATGTACTGCGAGAAAAGTTTGCATCTTTGTGGTTTAAACCGGGTCCAAACTTCAAACCCAAGCGAAGAAGCCCAATAAACACTGGTTTAGTGGAACTATCGTGCTGCCACATAGTATTACAATTCAATTTGGTACAACATAATTGCCAAACGAGAAAATTTTGGATAGGATACCGCTGGGTGGTTAGATACTCACGCAACGGAGTGGACTGCATCGACGTTAGTTGGTTAAGCCCACCACATGGGTACAATTATAACATAAATATAAATACCAATCACGTCGTCCATCTAAATTAATCGGCTTCGAAATTCAAACCCAAATCGCCATCATCTGCTGCTTCTCCCATGGTAATACCTGCAAGCTTCATCTCTCATCATCTTTTTTATTGGGGTATGCTATCCACACACCCCTTTTTACTTCTCACACACCTCTTATTAATTTCTGTCCGTTGATCTTCTTCAATTCATCTGATCCGACGGCCAAAAACCAAAAAGGTGTGGGAGAAGTAAAAAGGGGTGTGTGGATATCACACCCCTTTTTATTTCACTCACTGTTCTTGGTTTTTTTTTTCATCTGGGTTTTTGTTAAACTGGACTTTAGTACAATTTGAAGAGTTTTCAAGGAAAAACGGCAATGCGTTTCTTGCGCGCTTGGTCCTCTGAAATGGAGGACTGATAAAATAATGCAGTCAGCCCTTTTAGTTGCCCAGGTTTTTTGAGCAGCTATGCTTGCAGCTGTAGATTCATCAATTGTGGCTCTTGCATTCAGACGCTCGTAAATTTCGATTTTCCCCCAAATTTTCTCTTTTTTTTTAAGAAATAAAATTTTTTTCTTTCTTTTTCTGATACTCAATCAGTTTTTCAATGTTTTGAGTTCTTAAAAATGGGTTCTTTTTGCGTATGGATTTGTGGGTTTTGGACAAATCATGGTTTTGTTTGATTTAATGACATAGCAGATTCATTGTTCACATTCTGTGATGAAGTGATGTACTAAATTACTTTTACTCTACAACAAGATGAGAGGATTTAAATTTGGATGCAATGAGATGAGCGCATTACTCTAGTCAACTAGACTAATTCACATGGCTGAGATGCTAGTAATAAAACTCGGTGTATAGAATGATTCGGAGCATACTAAAAAATTCCAGCAGCAAACAAAACAAAGTACTCATTAATCTGATTAGATAGCTTATGACTGATTAACTAAACCGAAAACCCTAAAATGCTGCAATGATCAAAGCCATGAAGACGGCAGCAAAACCAGATACGGCGAGTGGGGACAGCACATAAGCTGCACTCTTTGAACTGCCGGGAGAGTTGCCTGAGGAAGAACCTGGCACAAGCAATCAGTAAAAAACACTAATCTAACTGTGAAGCTATCAAAGTCCGGCATGTTTTCGCTGTCATTTAATCGAGCAAAGATACTAATCTAGGCGAGACGTGACGAGTTTGATCGCTGATCTGAGACCAAACTAGTTGAGAGTTGAAATGCTGAGATTTCGAATTGAAAAAATAGGTAAGAAAAAGCATTAGGAACTTACTGTTGTTAGAAGGTGATGTTGTACTGGCTGGTGATGCTGCATCTGTGATGAAGAAAACAGCAAATTAAGATAAACAATCGAGAGTATGTTCGCCTGTCTCTCTCTTGATGTCATATGTCATACGAGGAGAGAGAAAAAAAGTAACCCTGATATATACACCCGGTTACACTTAAGATTTTGTTCTAATTTCAGAGCCTCGGGTAAAGGTTAATGCCTTTCCTTTCTCGTTTTTCAAACAAGTAGAAAAGAAAGAAAAACATCTATAATCCATGGAAACAAACATATGAATCCCACAAACAAAATCCAAAATATTTAAATTTAATTTGATTTAATTAAAAAAAGAAAGAAAGCTCAATCACCCTTTTTGCATACTGAAATGTCAGCATTGGCATCACAAGCCTTGGACAGCTTCAAGGCATCACCCTGCGTTATGTTAAAGTTGCTCAACATGTCATCGTTGTTGAAGAGGGTGCAAAGGCATTCGGTATCATCCGAAACCAACTTCTTGAGTGGCGAGCAGCACATCGAGGGAGCCTTCTCCGGCGCCTTCAAATACGCCTGACAAGGAATCAGTTTCTGCACGCATTGCATGGAAGAATCACTACCGCCACCAGCAGCGCCCTCCTTATCAGGCAATGCAGTAAGCTTCTGGCCATGGGAGACTCCAAACAACTCGAAAAGGGACAGAAACAAGAAGAGAAGCAAGTGTTTTGAGATCGAAGCCATTTTTTGGAGAGAGTTTGTGTGTGTTTTTGTTGGTTCAAATGGTTTGGTTTGTGAGACTTGTTTGGTGATATCTTATATAGTGATGAATGAGTCAAATATGATTCGACAGACGCTAAAAACTTATATATGTGGAGTTTGGTTTTTGGTGACGGATTTTGTTGCCAATTCCTTCTCTCACTCCCATTGAGTAGAGGTTTTTTCTGATCCAGCGATTATTTGTTATATGGGTTTTACTTTATTTTCCATGGAAGTTTTATTTTTATGGTGAAATCCGTTGTGTCATCATCAAGATTTCCTATGATTTTTACCCTCAATCAGAACAAGTATATGCGTACAGAAATGCTCCTCCTCCGTAACCGTAAGAGCATATTTATATATTTATTTATAATTGCGAGAAATTTTTTAGTGTGGCGGTTAAACTGTTACGTCGTGTTGGTGATTAACGTGTGATAACAGACGTGAAGGGCATAGTTGATGTGTCTTAGAGTTAGCATCAATAAATAAATCCACGTGTTATAATATGAATAACATGATAATACTACGTGACAATATGACAGTTACACTGAAAAACTTATCGAATGTTTGCATAACTCTTTGCTTGAAAACAAAGTAAGAAACCTGCAACAACCGAATATTGGCAGTCATGACATTATGGTAAGTTGGTAACCAGCTAACAAAGTTACTCAATCAATTTGAATTTGTCATGTTTGAACAATAATTAAGCAAAGTTTACAATACAAATTTTGCTTTGGTACGAGAATTAACATGAAACAAGGAGTTGCCCCAACCCCTTTACTTGTATTACTGGTCAAACCAAATCTATAAGTTAACCTGAACCCCTGCAAAATATTGATGTGTGATTGAAACTGCCTCGTTTATGTTTCATTTTCATGAAAATTCTTCTATGTTTTCGGCGTATCTTATACAATAAGAATTTTAACCGATAAATCTTTGGTTATTAGATCCTTAATCAAGAATATATCAGTCAAATATCTCAATGTATAGAATATCATGAAGTATACTAAAAAATTGCCTATATTATTTTCAACAATCAATCCGAGAAAGATAGGCGATTGATAACGCGAAATTCATGCAAAAAGGTGAAAGGAAGTGATAGAGCTGCCTGAACCCCTCTTTACTTTTACAACTAGTTGAGACAATGCTACAAGTTACGCTAACCCCTTTATCATATTTTAGATCAAGGTCTTGTGATAAATATTGGAGGAAACTGAAAATATAAGCAATATTTAGAAAACGAGTACCTGGAAAATGAACAGAATCACAAGATTCCGTACGTTGGGAAGTAGGTTGAATTAAATGTTTGATGTTGTATTAACTTACTAACTGATTATCGCTAATCGTTTGAAAGCTACTATAAGCTCGTACTTAATATAGCTTAGCGTGCTTTGTAGTTGGAGATGAGTGTTTGTGTAAGAAATTTGAGTTTGGCACACTAGGTATTGGCACGGCTCAAGCAAATCATGGAGTCGAATCATGAATCGACACGAGGGTAAGCTTGAACCGTGCCAATGCCGAGATTGCTATCACATGCCTCGACTCAACGTGATCGGAATGGAAGTTCTGCTTCAAACTTCTCCATTATATCATGAGAGCATCGAACTTGTCTTATTAATTTGGGAGCCAAAACTGAAGCAAACAAGGCAAAAACTTTGGAACATTAAGCAAAACATTCTCCAAGAAATATGAAGCATCTGTCCTTCTCTTCACATTAAGGCCGGCAAAGTTTAAGAATTATTAAAAACGCAGCTGGTTGATTACAAGAACCAACGTTTTCAACCTTTTTCTTTACTATCATGCAACTTCTCATTTGAATCTTCTTGTTCAACTTTCTTGATTTTTTTTTCTTATCCTGCAATGTTTTATGATAATCTAAATTATTTATTTTATAGCTCACCTTTTAAAATCAACTATGCCGAAATTCAACCAACTTCGAAATTGTTTAGCCATCTAACGGTTATCTATTAAATAGACAAACCATATCGTTCAGTTAGCACTAAAATTTTGACAAAATTAATCGAACTACAAAACGATTTCTATTTTGGTTTACTTTTTGTGATGTTGGTCTTTAAAAAGTAAACTAAAAAGTAAACAATTCTAATTATCGTGCAACATTGCAAAATGAAAATAATCAAGAAGATAGAACGAGCAAATTTGACTGAAAAGTTCGGTAGCATCCCCATCCCACTTACTTGCATTGTTTCAATTGGACACCAAATCTTTTAACCTTTTCCTGACATTACCCCACTTTGGAGCCATTGCCAACAAATTCCTGTACTGTTAGTGCAGTCTACATGCATAATATTGTTGAATTAATTATAAACTAAATACTCGTAATTGTCTTGACGGTTTTTAACAAATCCCTTCGTTGTTCTAAGAAAATCCACCAACTCAAAGCTAAGAGACAACACTTTTATCATCAAACAAGAACATTTGTTCTTAGTTAAAAGAGGTAACTAAAGTGCTTTTAGACAGTAATTTGCTCCCATACAAAATCAGTGAACCATGAACAGTCGCTTATGTGTGCATCAATAAGATTATAAATGTAAAATCATAGTAATCAGAGTCCATCCGGGAATAATATGGTCACGTACTCTAGAACCATAGATGAATGGTTCGTAACCCCCTACATTTCTGCTTACAGGCACGCTTTTGTTATAAGCACAATTAATTTTGGAAAAAATTCCACGTGCTTCCATAACCAATAAAACTCTCTTAACCTTTTTTGTCAAGGGTCGCTAAAAGCTCAGCTGGTTATCAGAAAGCACATTTGAGCTGCCTAGAAGTAATCTGAAACAAGCCCTTAACAATGTTACGAATCATATAGAACTAACAAGCTGAAATTGGGTTATTGAGTTTGGCAGGATCAAACTATTGAGTTTCGTTGTTCTTTTTTGTTCGAGCGACATCGTCATAACAACATAATCTAATCCAATTGAACTTGGGTGCAAAGGAAGAGCATACTGCTCTAGCCAACTTGATTACGTTTAGGGTTCGTTAACTATGTTTTCGTTTACTTTAGAACAACAATGACAGACAGATTTGGAAAACTTTAACTCTGCCAAGTTTTCTTCCAATCGCCAGTGAAGAGGAAGTTGTCTCATGTGCACAAATGAAACAAGAACAGAACATCATCCGGAAATATCAAAGCTATTTACTGACAAACCAAAGGAGAATCGAAAGCCACAGGGACACACGTAAAAATGCTTTCTCATAATTCTTGCCGTCCGATTGTTCACAGCCTTCCAACACTAAAGTTACTTTGATTTTTATCGTCACCTTTTGTCGACATTTCATCCGGCCTCTCCCTTCTTTTATACCATATCACACTTCAACCCTCAGGTCTCAAAAATTTCGTGAGGCCAGAGCCAAAAAGAAGGGCTCGAACTGAGCATCACTGGTTGAAAATGGCGAAAGTGGCGAAAATGGGGCGGAATGACACCAACAGAAACCTAGAGAGTCTGTTGGACATGGACAAATCAGTTGCTGCAAAAAGTTCTGTCCCTCTTCGACCCATGAAGATGATTCCGGGCCACGGACTTGAGTTCAACAACCTTTCGTATAGTGTAACGAAGAAGCTGAAAAAAGACGGGGTTTGGATCAAGAAAGAAGCTTATCTTCTCAATGATATCTCTGGCCAGGCAGTACGGGGTGAGATCATGGCCATCATGGGACCTAGTGGTGCTGGGAAATCCACATTTCTTGATGCATTGGCGGGACGGATTGCTCAAGGGAGTTTGGCAGGCTCTGTTAGGATTGATGGAAGAACGGTTAGTGATATGTATAAGTTTTTCTCTGTGCAGGACGTCCAGTTTTTCTTATTTTTTTCCGGAAACTAAAAGAGAATGAATGCATATATAAAGTTGATTCTTATTTTCAGGTTACTACAAGCTACATGAAGATGGTGTCATCTTACGTTATGCAAGACGACCAGCTTTTCCCTATGCTGACTGTTTTCGAGACGTTCATGTTTGCAGCTGAGGTTAGGCTTCCCCCCTCCGTTTCGAGGGACGAAAAGAGAAAGAGAGTCCATGAACTCCTTGAACAACTTGGCTTGCAGGTAAATTCAAAGTGTCTTTCACACGTATGAACTCAACGGACAAATTATATCTTGATTCTGATGAGGTATATATGCAGAGTGCAACGCATACTTACATCGGAGATGAAGGGAGGAGAGGAGTGTCGGGAGGAGAAAGGCGAAGGGTGTCAATTGGAATTGACATCATCCACAAACCTTCACTGCTGTTTCTTGACGAACCAACATCTGGTCTCGACTCTACAAGCGCTTTCAGTGTTGTGGAAAAGGTAAAGGAGATCGCTCGAGGTGGTAGCATCGTGATGATGACCATCCATCAACCTTCATATCGTATTCAAATGCTCTTGGACCGCATGACTATCCTAGCAAGGTAAAATTTTGCTCAAATGTGTGCTAAATTTTTATGAATCGTAGGCCTCTCGGTCAGTTAACAATTAAGGGTTGCTAAAATAGACTTACGATTTGACATGTACAATGCTTGTTAACTAAGCTATCTAATAATGTGGTTGCAGAGGAAGACTGATATATTTGGGAAGCCCGCACGGTCTGTCTGCTCACCTTTTGGGATTTGGAAGGCCAGTTCCGGATGGTGAGAATGGCCTCGAGTATCTCCTGGATGTGATTAAAGAATATGATGAATCTACCGTGGGACTAGACCCATTGGTGTTGTACCAACGCGATGGCATCAAACCTGATCAGGCATCCAGAAGGCCAGCTCTGAAAACACCAAGAAGAACTCCTTATAATAAGACTCCTGCATCTAAGACTCCTGCATCCAAGCACGCAATCAGCCTCCGTAGTAAAGCCTATTCCATTGGAAACAGGACGCCTGGACCAGGCCAGTCTGGTCGGTTTGATTATGAGGAAGCTGACGAGGATGTTGAGGATTTCGACAACTCCCTTGAAAGGAAGTCGGTTCATATGACACCAATGCATCATCAGAACAGTGGTGTGTATAACCCTCGTCTAGCTTCGCAGTTCTACAAGGACTTCTCTGTCTGGATATACCATGGAGTCAAGAGAACCCCTCACCGCCCACCATCATGGACTCCTGCTAGAACAGCTGGAGCGACATCAGTCTCAGTCTCGGGTATGAGGAGTCAAGTTTCGAGCCAATATCCCACACCTCAACTCATCCTGCAGCCACCAAGACACGGTAGTACTAAAACCCCTGTACTTTTCAGCCCTTCCATTGATTCCTCCTATGCACCTACTTATGGAGAGTTGGAAATAGAAGACGTGCTTGATGAGCCTGACCTTGGTCCTAAATTTGCAAACCCATGGCTCCGTGAGGTTGCAGTCCTCTCGTGGCGCACAGCGCTCAATGTGGTTCGCACTCCTGAGCTCTTCCTCTCGCGGGAGATTGTGTTGGCAGTTATGGCACTCATTCTGTCTTCCCTTTTCCGAAACCTGGGTGGTGACACCTTCAAGGACATAAACCGGCTTCTCAACTTCTACATCTTTGCAGTCTGCCTGGTTTTCTTTTCGTCCAATGACGCTGTCCCGACTTTCATCCAAGAAAGGTTCATTTTCATCAGGGAAACTTCTCACAATGCTTATCGTGCTTCTTCGTACGTCATCTCTTCCCTCATTGTGTACCTCCCATTCTTCGCCATCCAAGGTTACACATTTGCTGCCATTACCAAGTACATTCTTCAACTCAAAAGCAATGTTTTCTACTTCTGGATCATCCTCTATGCCTCACTCATCACCACCAACGCTTACGTGATGCTTGTGAGCGCCCTCGTGCCGAGCTACATCACAGGGTATGCTGTTGTGATAGCTACCACAGCTCTTTTCTTTCTGACTTGCGGCTTTTTCTTGAAGCGCAACCAGATACCGCTTTACTGGAGGTGGGTGCATTACATCTCTGCGATTAAGTACCCGTTTGAGGCAATGCTAACAAATGAATTCAAGGGAATACGTTGCTACAATGGCACGGCAGCAGATCTCACCCCCGGACCTTTAGGAGATATAAAGATCAGTCACCTGCACTTAACATCTCCATTAGTAAGCAAGAATTGCGTGCTTATCGGACAAGATGTTATCTCCTCGATGGATATCAAAACAGATAACATCTGGTATAATGTTGGAATCTTGCTAGCTTGGGGTGTTCTATACCGGATCTTATTCTATGTGGTCCTCAGATTCTATTCCAAGAACGAGAGAAAATGAAGACTGTTTGTATTCAAGTACCTTTGCCTCTGCTTCCAAATTGATGCTCGGAGATGATAGCCGGTACCTTATTCATGAATCATGCAGCAAGCTAGTTCATGAAAGCAAGTTATCTTTCAACATTTTTTTGTTTGGAAGACTTCATAATAAACAATAAAGCTTACATTTCGATTCTTGATCATGTCGGGACATAAACATAAAGAGAAGTAGAGGAAATGCAGATAATTTCATATTCATAACTTCCAGTAAAAAAAAATCCGACTGGGCGAGAAAGCAACATTTTATTTCCAGTAAAATACACAGATTACTGTTTTTAGGACATAAGTTTTGTCGAAATATAACAATCTTCTCAGATGGAAATTTCTTTCAGTTTATGACTTACGAAATTACCATTCTAAAATCCAAGCGCATCGTGCGAGGATTAGCTCAGATTGAGCCTGCATGTTGCGCAATCTTCCTTTCTAGTGCAGCTTTGTCTGCCCCCACCATCTTGTCAACCTCCTTACCGTTTCTTACAAAGAAAAAGGCCGGAACACCGCTGATATTCCAGTTTGCAGCCACATCTCTTGCCTCATCAATGTCAACTTTCAAAAAAACGACTTTTTTGTACTTTCCAGCTAAGCTTGTATACAAAGGAGATATGAAGCGGCAAGGACCACACCATGTTGCGGTGAAGTAGAGGATTGCAAGGCGCGATGCCTTTGAAGCAGCACTCAACTTTGTCTCTAATTCTCTGGCTGAGTGTATACCAGTGACTTCCCCTGTCAAAACCAAAAAAAAAAAATGCATTAAAAGAATCCCAAGGAAAATTGGATGAGCCGGATGAGTTAAGGAAAGAAAGAATCAAAATTAAATAGATGATATCTTGCAAATGGTGTTATGAAGTTGATATGAACCTTTAAAAATACCTGCATTAATGTAATACTAAATGGCGTACGAATAAAAGAAATCAAATGTCATACCATCCTTAAGAGCAGACAACGCATCCCATTCCTGCATGGAATTGAAAGAATTGTAGTTTAGTATAGTATGAAGGTTCTTTATCATTATTTAGTGGCACAGGGAATTGAAAGGAAAATGACTGAATGAGCTAACAAAAACTGCCAACTTCTTAACAAAAGCGATGTGATATTTCTTAACAAAAGCGTTACTAACTCTAATACAAGTACTCACTCGAGCTTCAGCTTTCCGCTTTCCCTCCTGTTCAGCACTTTTTATCTCCCTTTCTTTACTCAGGCGTTCATATTTTCTGCGATGCTCTTCAATTTTGTGGACATTAGGTTCAACCTGAAATTAAAACGAAATTGTTAAGGAACAGTTTTGCTGAAAGCTTCTCCTTTAGAATGAAGAAAATCACCTTTTTAAGCACCAAACCAATCTCCTCATCATAATCTAACTTTGATGCTACATGCAGATCACTCGCCGCTTCTTCCCATAGACCCAACATGGCCTTAGCCATTCCTCTTATTTTATATCCTTTTGCAGAGTCGGGGTTGATCTGGAAAAACGTATATATAGAGATCACTTGTCAATATTCACCGCTGACAAAAATTCAAACTTCTTGTTCAGTGGATACAAGAACAAGTACAGTGAGGGTCATCAACCAACCTCTAAAGCTGCATTAGCATCACGAATTGCCGCATTTGGTTTATTCAATTTGACAAAGAAACTAGCTGAAAGCAAGGATACCAGGTTTCTAAGGAAACGATACATACGAAAAAAGGCGGCCAAGACATGAAAAAGATATAAGGACAACTAAACAAAAGAAAAAATTGAATTTAGAAAAAATAATAATCAATTTACCTCTGGTTGCTTTTAGTATAGCTGAAGCTGGATTCAACATTATGGCTTCTGTTATAAGATCCATGGCTTCGTCCAGCTTACCTGAAAAGAATAAACAACCAATTAAAAGATAGTGAAAAGACAAGCCGAGAAATCTCAACTACAAATGCTAATTACAGTTTCACAACAAGAAGAAGCCATGCCTTCAGAGACAGCATCGATAGCTTTTGATTTTTCTATTTGTGCAGCATCCTGCATTTCTTCCGTAACTTCAATTGACAGGTCACCCATCTGGACATGAGAAATAGACCCAGTACAGCTTCTAAAGGAAGAATCATCATTTAGAGAGTTAAAATATAAGCGTAACAGGTAGGGGAGGTATAACCCTTACCTTCTGTGGAGGATCATTATCAGGCTCCACAACGTCAGTAACATCCAACTCAATATCAGATTCAACAATATTGTCATCGTTATTCCCAGATGGATCACTTTTGGCATCAAAATGTTGTTTCGTGTCTGACATGTCACCATCATCTTTATCCTGTTACCAGAACCAACACTACAACAATATACAACCCCACAAACAACAAAAAGAATGCTCGAAGTTTTAGGGAATTTGTCAAAGTAGAAATATGGGTAATCATGTTATTTCTTTGTCTGGTATAATTCGTAAAAATAAATATCATTGAAGAGGACCACATCAACAAATTCTCTTATAAGCATGAGAAAAGTGAGCAAGTGTATGGATGTTAGGAGCCGTTGACCCAATTGCTATTGCGTTCATTTAAATCTTAGCAACCCAACGGCTTTAAACATCCACGGTCACTTTTCATGGCCATAGTAGGATTCCTCGAACCACAACACGATGCAACCAAAGTACTTAGGAAGTTTAATCAAGCGTGCCTGTGCACCTGCGTGTGCCAAACTCTTACAAAAAACACAGGGGGAAATGTAATTCCCGTCACTCATAAAACCTACTGAAATTTGAAATTCTGAGAAAATGAAAATCTCCTATACAATTTCAAAACAAGGAAAAGTTAGACTCTTGACGGATCAGCTGCACAGCATTCCCGGAACACCTTAAATTATGTAATTCCACAATTCCCAACATGCATATACACATATGATACATGAATACTAACTAGAGAAACTGAAATTTGTATAAAGATTGAAGCTTTACTGTTACAGTGAAGAAATAAGAGCTCTCACCATTTTCGGAACCGGCGGAATCCGAGCGCCGAGGCTGCAAACAAATAAACCCCACATGCCAAAAACAAAGAATTAGATTCCAATCACATACAATTATATACAATCAATATACAATTCTATACAATCGTATACAGACATAGCAAAGTTGATACCTTTGGAGATATGACTTGAAGAAGGCGAGAGAAGGGGTGTGAACAATTGAAGGGTTTGACTTGCACTTGCTGATGAACTCCTTCAGTTCTTCTACCTTTGCAGCATCCATTCTTCTCTCTCTCTGTCTCTCTCTCTCTCTCTCTCGCGAATCAGAGGAATCACTTTCCAGAAAAGTCGAAAGCCGAAAGCGCTTGAAGCTTGTGGAAGGAATTTTTGAAATGGGGATTCGGTGAGGGCGCACTGTACTAGTAGTGATTGGACTTAACCGCTACTCGACCCTCCAATTTTTACCGCGTTCGGATCTTCTCGGCTTTTGTTCAAGTGGTTTTTCAGAGCGGTGTTATTCCCATGTCATTTTTTTTCTCCTACGTACTCTCTAATTTTTTATCGTCCAATCGAATGCTTTAAAGAGGAACAAAGAAAAGGAATTAACAAAAGAATGTAAAAGATAAAAATAGGTGTCTGAATAATACCATCGAAAATATAAAAAGTTGGAAAAGACAGAATCATGTGAAAATCACTTTCGAAAATTAGGATTGACCTCAGTGATACACTGTTCTGATCAACTGATCTAATTCACGTATGTGATTGTGTTTGAGTGTTTAAAACTTAATCCCGACAAGTTTGCCGGTTAGGTCATGTAATCATTGTGTTTTTTTCTTTTTGAAAAGCACGTGAGACAAAGAGAATCGAACAGAGAACCTCAGGTGTCGAAATACCTTCTAACCACTTGAATTTCAAGTCAAATACATCCATTTATCCTATAATTGTGATTTGCATTCTTAGAAGGAAAAAAAATATTTGCTTCAAATTCATCAATGTCAATTGGTACAACATATCAATACAAAAACATGGCCTCCAGAATTTGCCTTCCAATGCAGAAAGTAAAACAATATATTTTTACACCACAGTGAAAGGTCAAAAACAGAACACTTTTATCATATATGTAAATATCTATCATATATTTATCTAATCCTTCAGGTCCAAAAATGATCTTACAACCACAAGCACAAAAGAGATTGGTAAAAACAACGATCTATCATCTATGCCGGTTGGAAGCTTTTGTTACTTCTTCCCTTTTCGACTGCACACCGCCACCATAAAACTCTAATTTGTAGCTTGGGGAGGACAAGAACCGGAGGAGTTGAACGAGAAACTCAAACCTTGTGATCCGGGCATGCTGCGGTCTGGAGATTTCCCGCTGACATTGTATGGTGCTGTACTCGTCATCCTAAATACACAAAGTTCAATGTCAGTCGATAAAAGTTAAGGATGGTGCTCAAGTCCGGAGGAGATAAAAAAACTGTATCAGTTTCACATTAAAGGCGTCTAACTTTAACCTAGATGGAGTTTATGCAGTTCCAGGAAATATTGATTGTGATGGGGTGTTGAAATTTGGAAATTAACAACGAATGGTAATTTCGTTTCTGTATAAACTAATGTAAGCATCTATAGAGGGGGGAAATGACCCCTGAAAGTTACCTTTCCTTGCGCTTCTCGAAAAACCGAGCCAAGGATGCTTTACGTGCTTGAGGCACAGGTACTGCAAACACAGGAATAAAGAATTGTTCATGCTCATATTTAACAAATTCAATGAAAAAACAAGAACAGAAGACGATGTATATCACAGATATAACCGTAACATTACTAGCATACCAAAAACAAAACCCACAAAGTTATACCTGCTGGAATCAGGTTCGTCATAGCCGATCCCACTGAACTGACTACTGGAGAAGGCTCTGAGCGGTCAATAGGAGACGCGGGTTTCACTATAGCTAATTCATTAGTGCTATTAAATGTTCCTCCAACGTGAGAACCACCATGTGAAGTTGCAAAAAGAGGGCTTGGAAGCGCAGAGACTGAACATTTAATATGGGACTGGTTCCCGAAAAAACCATCACCTCCTAGTGAAGGCCCAGGTATCG